GTCATAATAAAATCTGTTCAGTAGTTCTAATAATTTGCTAACACCACAGACAAACAAACAGCAGGTTCTTGAAAGCAGGAAAAACAAGCCAAAGCAAACAGAAAAGGTGTGGTGATGTAACCCTGCAGGTGAACACCTGAATGTACTCTTTGCTGCTGTCCTCCGAAGGCGTCCAGGCATTGTCGTTGTTGTTGAGGCGGGCCTGCCGCGGCAACCAGCGGCTGTCGTAGAACGACGTCGAGGCTGAGATCTGATCGTCGCTGATCTTTCCAGACTCCATGCCGAGCGCCATGCTACAGTGGAACGCTAATTTAAAGAAGAGAAACAAAAAAGGACGCAGCAAATAATGTTAACTGTAAATAACTGCGAGGGGGAGAAAAGAAAGGAGAGAAAGAGGGAGGAAAATTGATTTTAATGGAGGGTAAACGCAGGAAATGTTTCAAAATCACAGATTTGAAAAGGTAAATATAGACTGAGGCRCAGAGAGGGGACAAAACAGCACAACAGGTGAGCCGAGACAAATTGAGGTGAAGTTAATTTATATTCTAAGAGAAAATAGTTCCGCTTCTGAAAAACCACGCGCTCTCAGGAGAGAGCAAAACAAGCCGAACGGGGTGAGAAAGAGCATCGGAAAAACCAAAATAGCATGAAAGCGATCGAGAGAAGAGAGGAAGATGAAGGAGGAAAGATGAGCGTCAGCGGAGACGACAGAGGTCAAACTGTTGAAAGGGACGGAAACAAACGTGCGAGGACTGAATCTGCACGAACAGACACACACACTCACAGTCAGACACTTCTTTGTGCGTCATGTTGTAGCGCGCCGAGAAGCCGTCTTTGGCCACGGCCATGTCGGTGTGGAAGGAGAGGGACAGCAGGCCAGAGGAGGACTGGATCTCTGGAGGGATCTTTGTCCCGCAGTAACGTCCAATCAGAGGAGACGCTGCAAACAAATCAAAACAATAGCAATTAGATGCTAAAACAAGACAGTCTTTTCTAGTGCTCAGTTCTCCCATCATTCCATCAACAGCACRAAAACCTCATCCCAGTTGTAAGGCATGGTGGTGGAAGGGTACTGATTTGGAATTTATTTTGCTGCCACAGGATCTGAGTATCTTGCAGTCAACAGGACAAACATTAAGTTATAGGCCCAGATTTCCTTCATTTTGGGAGATCGGCCAATAATTGGATAAGATCGGTGGAAAAGATCGACTTCTCGTCTCCCTCCACAGAGGTCTGACAATCAGCCACTGTCCTTTTTGCTCACGTTTGTATTGTTTCAAGTGTATTGTTCTGTGTTTTTCAATAAAATAAGACTGGAACATTGAAGKTGTAATGTGACCTTATAACACCTGACAAYGTCAGTWATAAAMARTTGTTATTGGACAAAATCAGAATTGGCAGGTCAGTCTTTTTAAAGATCAGTGACTGGCCATAAAACTACAATCGCTGCACCCCTAGCAAATTCCCAACAGGACCCGGGTCCTGTTGGGAATTTGCTAGGGGTGCAGCGATTGTAGTGTGCCCTTACAGAGAGGTGTGGGTCAGATCTGGTGGCACAGCAAGTGGTTTGTCATCAATCCTTTATTTTACCAGGAGAAAAACCCCACTGAGATTAAAAAAATGTCATTTATTTTGTCAACAGGATGTGGGCCACATCTGGCAACGACAGCCCTGTTTTTAAGATGGCATGCCACCACTGGCCCAGTTGTGGTTTAGTTTATGTGGTGCTGGCGCACGCACGGACCGCCTCTGGCAGACCACAGCTGGGCGACCAAAGGGTGGTGATTCTCTGTGGTATTTGAGTGCACAGAAACATTTTTCTACATGGGTGGTCTCTGCAGCTCCACGCTCACTGGACAGCACCCTGAGATGACTTTGTTGTGAACTGGCTCTAAAGAAATAAACTAATTAGAAAAATAGAACAAAAAAAGAATCAAGGTGTGTGTTTTAGTCCAGCAAAGGCAGGTTTCCAGTCACCACGCTGGTTCAGTAAGTGTCGTCTAATGAGTCCCAGCATGCCTCCCCAACTGCTCTTCCTCCCATTGTTTCCGACTCTCCCTTCAACTTCCCTCTCCGTCCCTCCATCTGCCATGTGCTTCTCAGCCAGAGCCCAGCAGGGGAACTGGAATCCCTACCTTCACGCAAGCTGCGTTGGGATCAGCTGCAGACGAAAACACGCTCACACACACATAAACACCAGGAGATTAAAACAGTCTAAACCCACCCACCCCTTTACTGCCCCCCACCAATCCTGCAACCCCCTGCTGCCATTTTTGCCAAACACTAAAATCTTTCCCTTTCCATCTTGTCTCCTATTCTTACCCTCCCATCGGGCCCGAGGTCTCAGCTCCCTGGAACTGAGTTACGCTTTAATTTCCCCCTATTTCTCAACTCTGAATGGTACAAATTGTTTTCAGCTATCAAAGCGTCCAAATTCGTGGCTATAATTGCGATTTTTAAATCCCCCGGGATCCGTTTTTAGCTACTCAAAATGATATAATTAGAGCAAATCTTTTAAGTTGTGAAAAGAAAAGGGACTTCTGAGAGGTGAGAAATTAACCACTCAGCACCTCTAATACAGGTTTTCCAGCTCTAACATTACCCTGTGGCGGTCACTACTTAAACCATCAAAAGCATCCTGTAATGTTTTCGACTCCTGTTGATACTCATCGCGGCCGTCACTCTCACTCGCCTGGGGAGGAAGGAAGTGCGAGGTGATAAGGAGGGAGAGGGCAGTGAGAGTTGGGAAGGGAGTGATGAAGAATGCTGTTATAGAGAAGGAAGAGGACCATGGGAAAGGTCTGCTCCTCCAGGGTGTTGAAGTCCTTTGAGCAGCTTCTGAAATAATATATTTCCTCTATGTAACGGAATGGAATGTAAGGAGAGACAGYGCACATCAAAGAGAGTGATGGCGGCTCAGGAAATTGAAGGCCGGTATGCAAATCTGTGTGCAGGAATGTCGGGTATTGCATGAGTCAGTGCGAGCTGTAAATTTTCAAAGCCTGTGCATGTGTGCGTGTCCATTCATCCGTTCAAAAAAAAAAAAAAAAAAAAAAAAAAGCAGATTTGTGTTCAGTCCCTCACCTTGTGGGAGGCCGTCCCAAACCTCCAGCCAGTCGTACTTGCAGTCGCCCTCGCCCACCATCAGAGGGTCGTTCTCCAGATCGAAGGTCAGGAAGGTGAGCGTGATGTCCATGTGGGGCGGGGCGATRATCATGTAGGAGCACTCCAGATTGTGGGGGTATTTATCCGGGAAGCCCGGGGACTCGATCATGCCGGACGGGCTGGTGAAATTGCGGAAGCAGAATTCTGACCCTAAGAGGATAAAAGAAYATTTATTAATAATATGAAAAATGACTGCATTAGGCGAGAATAAAGGCGCAAGCAATCGATCACACAGAGCTATCTCATCTAACTTGCAGACGGTGTTTAGGTGAGTCGTTTGTCACTGACAGCTTGCTGGAATATACAGTAGCTAGCACAAACAATTTATGATTACAAATAGAAGAGAAAACACACTTGGGGAGAATACCTGAGCGGCAAATGCACCAAGGGATCTGAGCAAGCTTAGAGACGACTACAGGATCGGATTGTTATGATCAACAAATCAGGACTGCTGACAATTTTATATTAAAGATCTTAGCAAGCATGGGGCTTTGAGCAACCTCAGTTTGGAGAAATTTACATCAATGAATTGTTGGAAAAATATGCATTGTTCAAAATGGTAAGTCCGGATAAACAGGATTCAGCTGGGTTTCTTTTTCAAAACTTTATTTTCAATCTTGTGACTCCAGTCAGGTTCATTCAGC